CCCCAAAACCCCAAAACCCCAAAACCCCAAAACCCCAAAACCCCAAAACCCCAATAGCTTATAAACATTTTGAATTATACAAATATAACTAATTTGAAAATAAGATGCCAAACTACGCATTTGTAAAGTTATTTAGGAAGTGATTCATGACAGAAGACCTTGATGAGGACCTAATCTCGAATGATAGACAATCTTGGTTGAACAAGTTGGATTATTTCAGAGCCAAGCTCGGAATGAAGAAGAAGAGCAAGAGAATTAGTGGCAAGGATATTGCCTTCAGCATTGTCCTAGAGCTTCTTTCTGACGAAGCAATGACAATGGATATTAATGCACTAGACGTAAACTGAACTAATAATGATGTTGAAATGTTTATTCCCCAATTTTGCCATTATATTGTTGGTGGAGGAAGATATTCAGGAGCAGTTGAGAAGTTTATACTCCAGAGAGCTAGCAACTCACCTATTTTTGCCCTTCATATTTTGTGGAATTTTTTGCAAAGCCTAGAAGCTGGAGGAGAGTCTATCCCAATGAAGACTCTTGAATTTTTGCAAATTTTAACTGAGTGAGGTAAAAATGCTATCGAAAGGAAACATAGCTCTTTCTTGTTCCAAAACGAGGAGAGCAAGTTCCCATATACTTTCTATAATGGATTGACGTTTCAGTATGAGGATCCACTTCCAGAAATTTCCCTGATGACGAAATTAAATTATAAGCATAACTATGATCTTTTCTTCAGCACTCCGAACTTTCTTTCCGATTTGATAGGCATATCAGAGTGCCTTCGTACTGTTGCTGTTGAGGATAGGCTTAAAACTTTGAAGTCTTTGATTTCAAATCTCAATCTAAGTTTGCCAAACAATGTATATTTACCTCTGAAATCTTGATCTGACCACAAGGTTTTACAGATCAGTCTTGAGCATTGTATTTGCCTTCATTCTAACGAAAAAGCACCTTTCCATGTTCTTATCGAGATTGAGAGATTTTATAGTGAAGCAGACACAGTTACCATGAGAAAGGCAGGAAAAAGCCAGTCAAGTGGATACATTGTTGGCAAAGATATGAAGCAAGGACTTCTGCTTGAAACAGAGAATAGTGGCGATTCTTACGAGGACGACGAAACAGCAAGCTTGAGAGGGTCTGGTGGTAGTGATTTCTCTGACTCTAATGGGGCAAACCCATTTGAGGTTGTGAAAGACCCAGTCAAGTCTTTTATGGAGCCCACTCTGTCCCAGAGTCCATCCCACCAAACAACTCAATATTCAGCTCAGGGATATAGACTTGCTCGATCTAGGAAGAAGAAGTCTCCTCTTTGGAAACAAATACTATGATGTCAATGTAGTGAACAAGGGGAAATGGTTCCCATTGTTGATAACAGTATGGATTTCAATAGTGTAGAAGACATCAATACTGTCTCTCAGCCCATCGGCCTCTTCGGAGAGCGATCATTCGAATCAGTCAAGAAGCAAATGAGGGAAGAATCTAAATATGGAGAGAATAATAACTGGGATGTAATCTCAGTTATTGTAAAAAGCGGGGAGAATATCCAACAAGAAAAATTTGCTGCTTACTTAATGGAGATGTTTCTTGACATTTTTAAAGAAGCTAAACTGAAATGCTGGCTGAGACCTTTTACAATCCTCGCTACATCACCTATTGGAGGCATTGTTGAGACAATTACAGATGCTGTCTCCATCGATAAATTAAAATAAATCCTACCCAGAAATGGATTGTTTGAGAAGGTATTATGTTAAAACCTTTGGATCAGTTAAATCCAAAACTTTTAAGAAAGCTAGGCGTGCTTTTGTCAGATCCCTCGCAGGTTATTCACTGCTGTGCTACATACTCCAGATCAAGGATAGGCATAATGCCAATATTCTAATTGACTCTAAAGGACATGTAGTTCATGTAGATTTTGGTTTTATGCTTTCAAATAGTCCAGGGTCAATGAACTTCGAAGCATCCTCTTTTAAGCTCACTAATGAATTCGTGGACATAATGGGTGGCCAAAGATCACAAGCTTTGAGACAATTCAAGGCATTGATGATTAAAGGCTTCATTGCACTCAGGAAGCACGCTGAGCACATTATCTCCTTCGTTGAAATGACTATGATGTCAAACAAAAATCTATCATGCTTCTCAAGAGGCTCTATCATTCTAAACGAGATGAGGGAGAGATTCAAGCTTGATCTCTCCGACACAAATGCTAAGAAGTTCATGTACGATCTCATCGAGAACTCTACCGATCATTGGAGAACAAGATGGTACGACAAATACCAGCGCTTGTGTGTTGGTGTGTGGTAATAGTTAATTTTAGAAATTAGGCTTACAATACTTGGCCACCACTATGGGGTTTTGGGGTTTTGGGGTTTTGGGG